GTTACTGGCAGTTCAGTATTGCCAAAAAAAAAAAAATGCTAAAAAAAAAAAATTCAGGCCAAGGGCTTCTTATTTGGCTTGCTTTTAGTGTTGCCATTGATTATAGTTCTTTTTTGGGGTTTCTTATGTCCTCTCAGAGGCACTGAGCCTTATTTAACTGTCTTCCACATTGACATGCAATTTAGGTTTTGCTAATTATAGGGTGCAGTAGTCATAATTTTTTCGATGATTCCTTGCTCTCTCTTTTTACCCACTTGCCTTCTTCACACACAGGCAGAAACACACACATCCACCTTAACTACACAAACAAAATTAATCATCTGCTGATTTTCATACAGAGGTTAGGCGTCACGTATGACTGGGAAGCAACACACTGACTGGGGTTGGGGAAAAAAGAGGAAGAGGGAGCAGCCAAAGACACAAGAGACAGGAAAAATCCAGCAGCTCGACTCTTCCCTGCTGTTAAAGACCATTCATAAATATTCAGCCTCCCATTTGCCTTAGTGTCAAAGATTCTATGAGACTCTAGCTCTTTGGTGTGTTGCAAGAAAAGCTTTAAATCATTAGAAATACACACAAAAAAAAAAGAGTGAGGGGGAATAAAATGCATCTTGACAAGAGAGGAAGGGAGAAATCTTAGGAAGGAACGCAACACCAGAGTAGCCCGCTAGCAGTGGAACATTGAGCAAGTCTGTGTCTGTAATAATGAGCCATTCAAACAGCTTCTATGTTCAGTTTGAAAGCAAAAGGAAGGCAGTGTCAGATTGTTAAACTGTTGGCTCTTGGGCTTTGATTTTAAAGCATTTTTACTGGATATTCTGGAACATTGCATGTCTCACTATGGCATACAGTAAAACAGATTAGAATAGACAGATTTTGAAATTCAATTTCTGACATACAGTTGGTATTACATGTGACATAAAAGAGTTTATTTACTAGGTCAGTATGACATTTGACCATAACCCAAAAAACATAAATGATGGAAACAATGCTGATACAGCTTTTAAAACATTTTCAAACATACATGAGGTAATGAAATGTTGGTTTTAAAAAGGGAGCATCCATCCATCCATCATTTTCTGTCACGCTTATCTACGGGCGAAAGGCAGGGTACACCCTGGACAGGTTAAAAAAGGGATCATGTTCTACTCCAACATAGATTCACATTTTGGTGCATTGTACCAGATCATACCTTTTAAATAATTCCAAACAGTAGTTCCTTGGCAGGTCAAGCTAGGAAGTAGGAAATAGTCTAGAACCTAGAATAGTTCATAACCTAGATAAGAATATGCTATACGATATAGAAAACAATCATAATCCAGCAACATCCTTACTCATGTGTTATCTTACATTGCTTTAAGCATAAAACACCACATATCATTTGTTAAAACATTGTGAATAAAATTATACAGAGGGATTTGACATACTTTATTTGCCTAAAACTGCATTAACATTGTATGGTAGGTGATATGACACAAGTCAAACACTCCCTCTGAGCACAAATGAGATAGAGTCACCTTAAAAAATCTACAAGCTTCTAGATCGAGTCAAATTTTTGCATTTTTCATAACTAAAATGTATGTATGTAAAATGTATAAATCTAGGCGTAAATCACATCTAACTCATGTTGTATCCTACCTTGGTAACAGATGGTTGATTAACATTTTTCTGACAGCAAATTAAATATTTAAGTGAAAAACCAAAGAAGACATTGATATATGTGTGTATCTGTGACTGCTTGTCTTGAAGAAAATGTCAAAACAAAAATAATTTATGGTCCAGCATTTGTATATGACTTTAATGGCTTTAATTTCATGTACATTCACTGGACACAATAATAGGTACTGTACACCTTAGAGGTGCTCTTTTTGTATTTAGAACTACTTTGATTCTCGTATACAAATAACAGTAAAAAAAAAATGTATCCTAGATTTAGGTCAATATTTTAATCTGCGCTCAACTCATGCTGTTCCTGTTGCAGCATCTCTTTTGAATTGAGGTCTGACGTCTTTGTAAGCCTTGCAATATGTTGAACTGTTTTGGAGCTTTATATTACATATCATTCTAATGCAATCAGAAGATGAGCACACTGTGGCTTCATATGGCCAGCCACGGTGAGCAACAATAATCAGGTAAACTTTACAGCACATTTGGAAAGTAATCCCAGCAGTACGCTTTGTCCACAGTTAGCTATATTACAGCAGTGTGTCAAATAAGTCTAAATATATATATATATATATATATATATATATATATATATATATATATATATTTTTTTTTTTACAAAATTATTACAAATAGGGATTTAAGAAATCACATTTAAATAAGTAATCGTAGCCTTTACCCTGAGGCACAAATTTCAGATGGGGCTATTTCCTGTTACCATCCTGATGATGTTTCTACAGCTTAAGCAGAGTCAACCTATGGTAATTCAGATTCATATGGAAAGGGGCATCTCCTTCCTATATATGGCCCCACTGTTAACAGTGCATATCAAAGAACACCAAGCAGAAGGTCAAAAACTGTAGACTTTTGAGACAGGATTGTCCTGAGGCACAAATCTGGGAAAGGATTAAGAAAAACTGCAGCTTTAAGAACAGTGGCCTCAATCAACTGTAAATGGAAGTTTGAACACCCAGGGCTCTTTCTAGAGCTGACTGACCATTTAAACTAAGCAATCAGGAGAGAAGGGACTTAGTCAGGGAAGACCTGTGGTCTCACTTTTGATACCAACATGTATAAAAAAATAAGGTACAGCATAACGAAAACATATCTATAATGCACGGCGTTAAGAGACAAAAAGTAACACATTTATATCCTTTTTTATACACAGTGGAACAACTGGGTTATTAAATAATATTTTCACACCTCATTTGCAGCAGATATTATTACAAATTGTGAGTATAGATAATCAAGGTATGTAGTTATGATTCCCAAATAAGTTTGATAATACTCACACATTCATATCTTTGTTTTCATTTATCTTTGATCATATTTAAGAGGTAAATATCGAAGCTTGTCTTGATTTTCTGATTAAACAAAAGTTATCAGCAAAAGTGTGTATCCTACTGAGGAACAGTTGTTACAGTATGTCCTTGGTTCTGCAGAAAAAGCCTTTCACAATTGATTTTTTTTTTCATTCACTATAAACAAAAGATAAGAAAGTCATAATCACACAAAATAGAAATGTGCATGGTAAACAGACAAGAATGTATGTTTAAGTGAAAATGTACATCTGCTGCACTAATATATTCATTGTAAAGCATTTATAATATTTCATAAAAATATTCAGTTGAATGACATTACTCCTAGCTGCGTCTGTTTGCAGAATAGTTCTATGGACTTCATTATTTTATAGTATGAAATTAACTATCTACAGTAAATCAGGCCAAGTCTCCAAATATAATATGTTTAAAAAACAGAACAAGAATAATTAAAAAAAAAACCCATAGAGGGTATAGAATATTTAGGAAAGAAAACTCAAATCAAGCAGCTACAGAAATAGGAGTTGGGACAAGTTTTATTGTATAACTAGGAAAAAGATCCTGACTTTAAACATGAATCCAATTCAGCAAACAAGACAAAATGAAATGAATATACATATAAAACAGTGCAAATCAAAAAAGAACTTCTCAGAACCTGGAGGTCGAACAAAAATGAATGTTTGCATAAAGAGCAAATGTACTTTGGAGTCTTGAGGCTGCTTTCTTGGTCTGATAATAAATGTATTCACAAGAGGGAAGTGCTCTGGTCGTCTCATTTCTGTCCTTGAGCTCAGATTCCTCTTCTTCTTTCCACTTTTCTGTCTCTCACTCAACATACAGTAGCTGGTGTTCTGATTTTTGTCTTATTTAAAAAAAAAAAAAAAAAACTCATTTGACCTACGCTGAGTGCCTTTGGAAGCCTCCTCTAGCATCAAAGATGCACAACTGTATCATTCTCGTTTAGAACCTGTGGCAAAATTATCTCAAGGTTAAGGATTACAGGTATCACATATTTTGGTGAGTCTTCTATTAGATAATCCCTTAGCTAATTAAGAGAGTAGATATCTGGGGCCAACACATTTTGCAACTGTATTTCTTGTATAGGTCTGAGGAGAATGGGTAGACAGCACTAGGATGATAGAATAAACCACGTGACAACTGAGGTACTGTATGTAGGATGCCATCCCTGAATGTCAGTTCCATTCAGGTAGGCTACAGCTGGGATTCTGAAGTATTTTCTTCCCCTTAACCTCTTATTTTCTTCCGCTTTAAAGAATGAAAAATTTTTAACTCCATTATCTCAACATAATAGGTGCAAAATGTAACTTGTTTTATAATGTCACTTGGTGCATTGATGTTGTCACTCTAAAGAGTACCCAGATTCCTTTTTGGGTTTAAGAAAAGCTAAATAACGTTTATACGATAACAATCTCTAACAACTGGAATTTGTCAACAATCTCACCTTTTATAAACCATATATTAACAATATAAATGTGTTTTTTTCAACTGATAAATCCCTGCTGTCAAAACCATTCCATTCCAACTTTCTACCATGTTTGGTGTGCTAATTGATTAATTGGATCTGTCTGCTTGGTCGAACATCAAGGCCCCTCTGATCTCACACTATCCACTTGCACCTGTGGAGCACATAACCGAGACCCGGTGCTTTATTTTGGAAGTCTCAGCCGAATATTATAGTTATGACAGAGGAGATAGCACATTTCCTGATGCTCACATGTGCAATGCCCTCACAGATGAATAGATGGCCCTCCCAATGCCAAAAGGGTCGTTTGTTTTTTTTTGTTTTTTGTTTTGTCTTTTACGGAAATACACATTCACAGCGACATGAACATGAAACAACAGTTAAAGAAAGCCTCTGTTTGATTTTGTATTAAACAAAGAGAGTATTCAAATTAAATAAAAAACTGATTGAGAATATACTGTATATTTATTTCATGAGTGAATTAACTCATTCCAATATCACTGTTTATTTTATTAGCTATTATGTTTACTCACTGATATGTAGGCCTTGCTTTGAAGTTTGCTGTGTAGAAAAAGAATATCGTCCACAGTCACTGGCTGCTTTAAGCTGCATTCTCCCTTGCTCTAGCTGGGCTCGATGACTGAAATGGGAAGCACAGTTTGCATAATAATTGCTAGGTTTGGGATTTTTTCATGATCTTTCTACCAGTGCAACACATCTTTCTTTGCACTCTTTAATGATGTGTTTGCTGCCTTGTTGCTTATGACACAGTTATTATCCAGTCATACTGCAATTATTTTGTTCATTGGGATGCAGAGTTAAAAAAAATTAAATATTTGCAATAATTTTTATTAATGTTATGATTTTTTCTGTTCCTGTTAAATGATGCAGTTTTATTCCATACCTGCACCTATACATTGGTACCTGACTAACTCTAATCTTCATTGATACAGACTTAAAACTATACAAAAAAATGTTTTAATCTGTAGAGAATGG